GCCCTTCTCCTACTTTATTTTCAATCAAAAAAACGACCCTTCCCAAGAGAAAAAGGATGCCTATATATATCAATATATGTATGAGGTCAAAGGTACACACACTGAAGAGAAAAGAAAAACAGAGATAGTGAATAAAACAATAGAAGAAGGACGAAAGAAAGAAGACGAACAAACGACTAATCTGCTGCCTGGCATTACTATAGCATTTCTTCTCAGACACTCGAACCACGTGTATGTCATCATTATTTCATATATCATTCGTTCGATTTTCCTTCATATAATATTAATCTTAAATTTTTTTTAATCAAAGAAGCAAGAAATAAGTAGCATTACCATGTCTCCACTACATTCGTGTCTATTTCTGAGGTTATTACTGGTAGTTTACGCTGGAAATAAAATATGGTTATGTGAAAAAAAATCTTTATTTTTTGATTAATTTGAGTAAAAATCGATATTTTCGATAAATTTGATTGAAAATTGAGTTTTTTGAGGTTTTTGATGTAAAACTGATTTAATCTCAAAAAACTCAGCTTTTCCCCCCTTGCCACGCTGGCTTTGATATCCGTGTTGTTGCTCTTCAGACAATCCTAACCAACTAATCTATATTAATTTTGCTTCTTATTCAGGGTGTTGCTTATTAAATAATTTTGCTTCCCAGACCGTAGATTCTGGCGTCAGGATCCTGACGGAACCTGTCGGATCCGACACTGGAACATACTGAAAGTTGTCGGAATTCAGTAAAATCTGACAACCAACACCCGTTGCTCGGAATCCGTGCCCGAAGATGTCGGACAAGATCCGACCGGATTCTTCGAGACATCGGATTTCGCTAGGTTTGGCAGAATGTGATCAGTTTTGAGGTTAAAAATAGTCCTAAATGTTGTCTTTCGTTTTCTAGTGATTCTTCTCTCTATTCATTCGAGAGTAGAAAGGCTCACTAGTTAGGACATCTGCAACACATCCACTGAACAGTGTGAACGATGACTCACATCATTAAGAATTCGAGAAGAAAACTTGTCATTTTCCATTTTCTGTAATGTCGTATTTAAAGTGCTCTTGTTGTGAAACAAAACGGTGAATATATTACACGCACGGAAAAGAAAGAAAAAAAAGTGTTGCGTTTTTTCATGAGCTTATTCACGGTTCAGTGAACAATTTTCATTTTCTCCTTACACTTGACTGAGCTAGTCTTTTGCCAATAGATGTCCTGATGAATTCTCTACAAAAAATGTATTGACTATTCTATTGTAAAATCCGAAGGTGCAAAATGTCATGAGAAAATGTGAGAAGTACAAAAATGTAGAAAAAATAAACATAGTTACAGTTTTTTTACTATTATCTGGTAAAAGTTTGTGAGAGAGGAAAGCTGAAGTGGCCACTATGTAGCTCTACAGGACGAGAAAGAGCATATTTGAAACTACACAAAGATATGCTGCAACCATGTTTTATTGCTTGGAAATCATTTAAAAATATGTCGCTGTGGTTGAGAAAATACGTTTATTTTCTCTACTTTTTTGTACTTCTCATATTTTCTCATGGCATTTTGCACCTTCTGATTTTACAATAAAACAGTCAATACATTCTTTGTAGAGAATTCAATGGGACATCTATTGATAAAAAACTAGCTCGGTAAAGTGTAAGGAGGAGGAGAAATTTTGAAAAATACTGACAGTGCAGTTCTTTATCGGCCATCTGTTAGAAGAGCTTGACGATGTAGAGTGCCTCTTCCGGCAGTAGAATTACGCGATTTTCATGTATAGATGGACTAGTGCCAACAATCTCTAATCGTGTTTACTTTTAATTTTACATGAAGTTTAATGTTTAGCTTAGGATAGATTAAATGAGATATTCAGGGAACATATGCAAAAGGTAGATTTGACCGGGCAGCAGTCTTGTCTAAGAAAAGGTGCCTTGAACGGCGCAGACTTGTAAAGGACGGTTTTGGTGTCAAAAGGAAACAGTTATCCCTTAATCTTCTGAACTAGCTGTTGTAGTTACCGAGACATCATACATCAGTATAATGGCTCATACAAAGTATCATTGCTGCAATATTACTATCGATACCTTTCGAAACAACAACGCATCTATTTATCAAAAAAATGTACAACTCTACAGTTTTATTAAAGACATCGTCTCCAAAGCAGCACTTCCACTCAAAACCATAAGTGTAGAAACTATAAATGAGTATTAAATTCCGTGTAGGAAAACAAAAAGAGAGCAATTCCATGTTCGACAGAAAACTAGAACAGAATATGTCTTGAGTGAATCAGAGCGCTATGCGATGAATAGTTGAAGCCAATCAAAACGTACTACGGTAACTGACTACCATTCGGATTATCGATCTTGACTGACGTAAAGTGATAGCAACCTTGGAACTTCGAAGAAATCCGATACACGCTTAAATCATCAAAGATTGGGAGAATTTATGGGTTATGAAATGGTTTTCCAAAGATCCATTAAAAAACCTTCTCCTTATGAAAATATGAATTCAGGCTTTGATTATCAAATGGTAGGGATAGGAACTCTTCATCTCTTTCCATTCTCGAGTTCTTCGCAAAATGACCGGGTACATTGCTTTTTTAAACGGATAGTAAATATAGATTAAGGAAAAATCGTATTTCGAAAAAACGTATTTTGAGAAGTAAAAAGGATCTGTGGAAGGGATACTAAAAACAATGAATAAGGATTTTGGAGAGTTACTAAAATCTCTTCGAAACCTCTTTTCATTCTGTATACTTTCCATTCTATGATTTATGAGAAGGTCTGAGAGATCATACAGCTTTCGTAGACCTAAGTTTATACTATCATACATTATCATTTCTCTAACTTTTAGTAATTAGTAGACTTCTTTAACATCCTGTCTCCTTTTGATGCCAAAACATCGCTTTACAAGTCTATGCTGTTCAAGACACCTTTTATTGGAGAAGACGGCCGCTCAGTCAAATTTGCCTTTTGTCTATGTTCTCTGCAATGCTCATTTTCTTCTCTTCTCATGACGTGTAAGGCAAAGAAAATTCGGAATATATACTATAGGTCACTGATTAAAGTTATATTACGAAAAAATGACCGCCGTTTCAGTCGATGGACTCTAACACGATATCGAGAATATCATCAATAACATCACTTGGTGCGATTTTATTGATTATAAATCTTGTATAAGGAGCGATAAGTACTTCTTTTTCAAATGAATACTCGGATATATGTTCTAGATCAAAAGCGGAAGGAGTGTCGAAGTTTTTAACTGTATATGTGCATATTGCGATGATTACTTCAGGATCCGGATCATAACTGAGTCCAGTACTTTGAATGTAGTCACGATTCTTTGATGTCGATAAAAATGTACGCGTATAAATTGATGTGTCAACACTGTAACTTTCTCGATCCTTTTTCATAATTTTTGTGACACCAAATGTTTGACCTGTGAAGACTGCCGGACGTTTAATGAGAAGTATAATTGCTAAAAAAGAAACTGGTTTAACTGTCAAGGTTACTTTTTGAGCTTCACTATTATGGTTTTACCTGGTATGCATTTTGCTACCCTATAAAGATGATTCTGTTCTTCATAAAATTTGATGATAATTTTCTTCATCTCTTGATAATACTGTTCTGGAGTGCAACATGAGATCATTGACGTTAATCTCATGATGTTGTATGCATTCACATAATCTTCTTCTTCATACATTGTAAGACTAACATTTAGACTTTTTAAAAAATTCGTTTCAGCTGTAAGTGCTTTTAAAATATAAGTAAAATTCTTTTCTTTAACTGCCATGGAGAAGAACGATTTAATAATTTCATAACCTTTTATATCACTAAGTTCTTTATCAATATAATCTTTTTCAATGGCAATAATCGAATCAATCAATTGATCATATCTGTATTCATGTATTAAAAGAACATGTTTAAAGAATAATAATTGCTCATCTTGATTGCATTTCCAATCTGCGGCACAATCACCGATGAATCGATTGTGTTCGCCAACACGTTCGAATACACGTTTTGCAGTTTCGTACTGTAGTTCTTCATTCTCATAGCGTGCTACATCGTCATCGTCAAACTCATCAAGTGCTGGTTGAGGTTTTACTATTTCTTCAAATGCTGTAATACTATTTGCATTACGAATTGATCGCCATGCGCCTTTCTTCAGTAATAACTGAATAATATTTGTATGACCATAGCGTGTGGCTAGATGAAGTATCGTATCACCGTTTTCATTTTTTTCATTTATTTGTACAATGGTCATTGTTTCTAAAAGTCGTTTGACTTTTTCAAAGTCATTATTGATGCATGCAGAATAAATGTTGTTCGTACATTTATTCGTATTCGTCGAGTACGACAGTGCTGTTAACTCCACATCCTCAACGTCTGGACATAGTTTTCTTATAATGTTCCCCATAAGTGAACTTATACAGTGATAAACTATCGGCTATACTGCAGTAGTCAGAGCGTTCAAAACAGGTTCTGATTTGAAATTTCTTTAAGAATCTAAACCAAAATTTGAAATTGAATATATGATGCATTTGCTGCAACTAGAGAAATAACATATTTTTTTCACTTGTTGGATTTTTTTATGTAAAACATTTACAAGCGAACGGTTATACAAATAAAAACAAAACGTGTTCGTACCTTAACCTGACGTTTCTTTTAACTCTTTCGATTAAACAAGAACAAAATGCGTTCACATTGATCATTGACCTGCAGTATATATCCAGAATTTTCTTTGTCTTACACGTCATGAGAAGAGAAGAAAATGAGCATTGCAGAGAACATCGATAAAAGGCAAATTTGACTGAGCAGCCGTCTTCTCCAATAAAAGGTGCGTTGAACAGCATAGACTTGTAAAGCGATGTTTTGGCATCAAAAGGAGACAGGATGTCGAAGGAGTCTACTTGTCACTAAAAGTTAGTGGATTGTGATGACGTCAATTGTTGTGGTGCATGGAGATCAGATTTCAATGAAGTATTTCTCCGTCGTTTTTTTGCCAGCGCCTCTACCTGTTATATGGAAGTGTAGTGGATAGGAAAGACGTTAAAAGAAAATGTACGTTTTTTGTTGATATATTTAGATAAAAAGAAATTATCATGTGGAGATACAAAATTAGAAACTTTGGTGATTCTCACTTCAGTTTTTACGACGCTTTTTCAAAGTACATTAGAAAAAAGACACAGAAATCGAGGATAATTGTAATTATAAGAAAGAAAATCTTTCACCTAGACAGAAAAACTACATCAAGAGCACTTGCTCAATAAAAAATTATATCTTTCCCTGTTCAAATCACTCCCGGTTTAGATGTATCCTGAACAACCATATGAATAAATTTTATTGTCCCACCTATTATCAAGCAAAAATAATGAATAATTAAATGTACAAATGCATAAACATATAATGTAGGATGACAATAAGTAGACGGTTGTGCTGCGTCATATTGAACAATTTTAAATATTCGAAAAATCCACACACTACCGACAATAAACCAAATAAAAATAAATAGACTTAAGAACATGCTTAATACAATAAAAATAAATTGTACCGGTGCAGAAAACCATCGAGAGAACTTACTATCTTGTTTAATCATGTACGTATGTGTGAGAGACAAGAACGCACCTTGAAATGTGGCATATATCGCTGTAGCACCCATAACAATTAAATAAACAGACACATAACGTTCTATAGGACATTGATTGTTGAAAACGAGACCGATAATAAATCCTATTACGATATTAAGAACGCAAACTATTCCTATTGCTAAAAAGAAATATGTTGCAAATTTCAAAAAAATATCTCGCCCGTTCATATTGTTTGTATCTTAAATTAGATTCATAATACCGTCTTTTTGTTTTATTTTTATTTACAAGCCCGCTCTTATCAACAATAATGTTTTTATTCTTATCGAGTGCAACTAAGATTTTTCAAAAAAAACTGACTCACACCGAGTTTTGTTTACTCAGTACAGAAAGTTGAGTATAAGATTAATCGTATTATATTTTCTAGAAAAGTGATTTTAAAATGGAAATTATTATAAAAATACGACGACATCATGATTGATTAATGGATTTTGTTTTAGTGACGGCAAATGTTAGTACACAATAAGTAAAGAAAAAAAAACAAAAAATAACTTTTTCTTACTTCCTTTTTCCTTTTTTTTTCTTAAGCGTACAAACAACAGTAGACTATGATCAAATCTTGTTGCTGGGAAAGCAGAAAAAGTGATGATCACCTGTAAACTCTGCCACCTTATGTTAGATGCTTTTTCCGTCTCCTAGTTATTGTTCTTGTTTTATTTTATATGTGCAGATATTGTTTTAACCTTATCTTGAAACTTCTAATAGAAGGAGATGAGACCACCAAGTCAGGCAGAGTATTCCAATCTCGAGCTGTTCGAACTAAAAATGATTACAGCACTATCTCAGTGCGACCAAATGGGATTGAGACTTGGCGTAAGTGTTGAGTTAGTCTCTCAGATCTTCTGTCGTATTGGGATTGGATAAGGTTAAGCCGTGATACAGGAGATAGACCTTTAAAGATTTTAAGGAAGAGAACAAATCCAAAGTATCTTCTCCTTATTGAAAACTGCGGTAGGTTTAGTTGTGTTACTAGCTCTGCTCCCGATGAAACGAAGTCTTTCGTAATCAAATATGCAACCAGTTTTTGTACTGATTCAAGTCGAACAACTGATGTGGTCATATCGTCATCATATAGTGCACATGCGTAGTCTAGTTTAGCCAGGACGCGAGTTTTATAAATTTGTAAGCGCACAGATAATGATGCTTCTCTTAAACGTCTGTACATCGCACCTAAACGTTGTCGGCATTTTTTTACTAGGTCTTCCACATGAGTCAATAATAATAAAATACAGCTGACATCATCAATAATAATAAAAATGTTTTTCTTTTCTATTGATTTTAGGTTGGAAAAAGCTTTACACTTCTTTTGCTTGGAGAATAGAGAAATGAATTTCAAGTAAAATGTGTAGTCGATGATACTTGAGTGTTGAATACATTAACATTCAACAATTAGTAACCTGGCGACAAATGAACGTGAAAGTTATGTTTATAGATGTATATACTGACAATAATTTTTTTCTTGTAATCATTGCTACTGGAAAAAAAAGCTATTTTTATGAATTTTGAACTTTAATTTGGCAGCTAGTGCTGACCAGTTTCTTTTTTAAAACTTTAAATCAAAATACATCAGTCCATTGGGTGGTTCTATTCTACCGTTTCGTTAAAGGTGATTCTGTGGGATATCGGCCACTTTATGCATGACTTTTCTACAAACGTCGAGACTCCATTAGTGAATAAGATTTAGTGCGGTGATAATAAGAACTCATTGACTTGAAATTAAAAGCTTAGGTATTATCATATTCCTCACATGTTCCTAGTATACAGGGCAGGGGTAGATATCCTAAATCTACTGCGGACGGACATCTGTTCTATATGACCTTAGACTTTGAGTCAAGAGTAACTTCGTTTGGTTTGCTATTTTATTTCAAATATCCTAATAGAACAAACCAAAGATCCAAAAGAATTATGTATGATGCAAAAGAGAAAAGAGCGTGGTTTCCACAATTAAACTTAAAAACAATCTGAAAATTCACTTAAATCGCAGATAGTTTCGTTTTTCTTCTTCAGTTAAAGAACGTTACAAGACACGACAGATGTACACTGTGAGATTATAAGGGTAAGTTGCTCGTCTCAAGTTTCATTCTTTAAGGATTTAGTACAACAGTGTGATTGATATGTGACCAATAGTTTTATATAAATGAGGAAGCGTAGACAGATAATTGATTGATAATGGTTACCTTTACAGTATAATCTTCTAAAGCATAAACTTGAAGCATAAAACGTTTTATGGAGGGTAGAAGTGTGCAACAGAGATCGGCACGGGCTGAAAACTTCTGGCTCGACCACGAAAGCTTGAGATCCGGGCCCGATTCAGTCCAAAGACAAAAAGTAGAGACCTGAGTCGGCCCAACCTTTGTTTTGCAGTTGGTTACAGTCACTTGCATTTTTAACGCTAATAGGCTGGTTGACAAATTGCTATAAATAGATTTCTCACACAACTATATCAGTTAAATTTTCACAGTTTTTTATAATCTATGTATGCACTAAATAACCTATTTATTCAGCTGTATGTTAGAAAAAGGAATATTGCAATATTCATCACGAACATGTTTATCCTAAATATAATGGTTTTACTGATGTATTTAACTATATGCTCCCCTTGAAAGAAATCCTCGGGCCTGTCCGACAAAGATAACTTGAAGCCCTACCGGTCTTCAAAGCTTTCTGACTCAGTCCGACCCGTACCGATCTCTGCTATGCAAATCAGATCTAACCTTTAAAGGTAAATTTAGGTTTGATCCAGTTAGGGAAGATGTTAAAAGAAAATATGTTTATTTTCTATATTTTTTCTGATATGTTTAGATAACAAAAATTATCATGTGGATACAAAATTAGAAACGTTGGTGATCCGAATTTTTCAATTTTTATGAAGCTGTTTGGAGAAAAGCTTTCGGGTTTAGTTATAAATTGATTGTACGTAATACAAGATTAAGCTTGAATAAAAATTTTTTTATATATTATAATATTAACATATTCATAAATAAAGGGGCTATTTGTTTATGGCGAGTCATTCCTGGATGACTTTTTTATTGTTACTACTCAATTTTTAGTTGTTTAGGTATTTGCAACTAGTATAGCCTGTAGTGTTAATGGGCTTAAGGCAATCAAAAGAAGAAGCTGATGTCTTCGACGAAATTCCAGATTTAGAACTATCATCAATTATTCTAGAGAAAAACAACATCAGTCATCATGAAATTATTTGTTTACATGCAAATATTATTAATAACGCCGTTGAACAATCACAATTACGTTTTTTGGAAAATAAAGCAAAAATGTTTGATGATTTTGATGAATGTGTAAATTATATACAATCGAATCAAGAAGAAAAAATATTTTTAATTATATTTGAATTGTTGGAAGAAATTTTTATTCAAACCATACATGATCTATCGCAAATGATAGCGATTTACATTTATTCTACTAAAAAAACTAAATATGAACTATGGCCGACAGCATCTTATCCAAAACTTAAAGGGGTTTTTGATAACAAAGATATACTATTAAATAAATTGGCCGCAGATGCTAAATTTTACATCGATGAATTGATACCAATTAGTGTATTTTGTCTAAATGAAAATGAAACTTCAATTGAACATTTGAGTAAAGACAGTGCATCGTTTATGTGGTATCAATTATTATTTGATCTTCTAATTAGATTGCCACGATCGGATTCAAGTAAAGAATCTGATGCGAAAGAAATGATTGCTGAGTGTCGTTTATATTACGAAGATGATATAAGTAAATTGAAAGAAATTGATTATTTTGAACAAAACTATCCGTTTAAGAAACCTACTTACTGGTATACATGTGATACATTCTTATACAGACTATTAAACAAAGTTTTACGTTCGAGAAATATTGGTGCCATTTTAAAATTTCGATATTTTATTATTGAACTCTATGAACAATTATCGCGTGAATACAAGTTGAGATTACCGAAACTGAGTGGTAATCTCATTGTCTATCGAGGCCAAATGATACATGAAGAAGAACTAGAAAAAATGAAAAACAGTATTGGAGATTTAATATCGTCAACTACGTTTATGTCAACATCAAAAAAGATCGAGGTAGCGACAGAATTTATTGCTACGGCTACGGAAAAATGCATTCTTTTTGAAATAAGCGTTGATCAAGGTAAAGCGGCACTGAAACCTTACTTGGATCTTAGTCCTTTAAGTTCAAAGCCAGATGAAGCTTTAAGTTCCAAACCGGATGAAGAAGAAGTTTTATTTTCAATAGGTAGTATTTTTCGAATAATGTCTGTAAAAAGGTTACCAACGAATAATTACTGGACAATTAATTTATCGTTGACTGAAAAAGTAGATGAACAAATGGAACAATTAATGGAATATTTTAGAGTATATAATTTAGAAAACGAGACTAAATCCCCTCTCTTTCATTTGGGTGAATTTTTAATGACCATAGCAGAATATGATCAAGCTGAGTATTATTTTAAAATTCTGCTTCAACAATTACCATTGCTAGATCATACTGTAAAAGGAATGATGTTTAATTCAATTGGAAAAATTTATTATAAACGAGAAAAATATTCGTCTGCTTTACAATGGTATAATCGATCACTTACCGTTTTAAAAAATGTAGCTCCATTGTTAGCTGGATTGAACTATATTGATATAGGTAGTCTATATGAGAAACAAGGTGATTATTCTAATGCGAAGAAGTATTTACGATTCGCATTTAAATTATATTCCCAATCATCATCAACACCTCCCACTATCCTGGCAAAACTTTATGAAACTGTTGGCTTAGTTTATTATCGTATGAATAACATATTATTAGCTGAAAGAAATTATACTGAAGCAATTCTACTATATTGTAAATTTTTACCACCAACACATCCACATCTAGCCGTGATATACAATACCCATGGTGATTCATTAGTGAGATCAGGTCAAGCTAATAAAGCATTAGAAGCGTATAAATACGCATTATCAATACAAGAAAAAAGATTACCACCAAACATTCGTAATCGCAGTATGTCTGAAACCTATAATCGTATAGGATTAGCATATGATGTACTAAAAAACTATAGTAATGCTTTACTGAACTATAATCGATCGCGTGAATTATTATCCGATGACGATCCACATTTATGTATTGTCATGGATAACATCAAACAAGTATCAAGAAAACTAAACAAATAACCATGGCGATGGGCGTTGTGAACGAACGGTAATGCAATATGCTGTACTCTATTCGTTTCTTTCTACTTGAATTATACATATAGCAGCTTTTTCTGCTTTGCTGTTTCTTGTTGCACATTGTACACTTCCGTATTCTGTTCAAAAAAGGTATTGATTCTGTCACATTCAACAACAGATTATAATCCACTATTCTCCGTATTCATCTCATTTGTTTCATGAAAAATAAGAATGTAAAACCACTAAAACTGAGACACCCTAAACTAATCCTTCTAATACTATTCCAGTGAGTAATCGTTTCGTTGAATTATCGTTATCATTAACGCTTTTAAAGATAAACGCTACATATGGCATAATCAACACTGCTTTTTCAAATGAATTCTCGCAAATTTCTCCAAGACCAAATGCGGTACGGTTGTCGAATATTTTTACTACGTACGTACATAAGTCAATAATTTATTCGCCACTAGAGAGGACCATGCACCTCGAGATTTCGCCGTTTTGCAGGAGACCGACAGCGAGTTAATTTAATAGTGAAATTTTGAGTGTCAATTTTTTTTGGACCATCAAATATGTTTAGAATATTAATGATTACCAGAAAAGGATACTTTTCATTACCCACTTTTTCAGCATGCATCTCACATTTTTATTTCTTAACAAAGTTAACATGTTCACTGAAATATTAACCAAATAAGCAATATTTTCATAGTTTTATTTATATCTATACAAATTTAAAGCTGTGCTAACTTGCTTGGGATGCCCTTTTGCTTTTCGTTTGCCTAATGGTTGAATATGTGTTTTATCGCTAACTTAATACAAGTTAAATTTAGACATTCTATTAGATTCCCAATTTTATTTAACTTGCATTAAGTTAGCAATAAAACACGTATTTCAGAGATGTCACCAGTAACAGAATCCGACCCGGTCTGATCAGAAATTTTTGACCGGTCGGTCGGTCGGTCGGTTTGCCGGCTGACAGAAAATTAATTTGATCAGTTGATCTAGAAAAAAAAATTTTTCGTCTGAAAAATTAGTACTTTATCGAAAACGAATTTGCTGAGCTGAGTAAAAAGACCACAGTCCTCTATTCTGGATTGCAACCCACAAATCTTAGCTGGTCTTCTATTATGGATGGGGTTTAAAACAATATTTTAAAGTAGTTTGAAGTAAGCACAAAATAAATGAAAGTCTTTTGATATTTAATTGTTCTAAGCTTTTTTATTTGATCACTGATCAAAGAGATTATGTCATTTCAGTTAGTTCTTGTTTTATGTAGGCAGAGATAACTCCAACAAAACAGAATTTCTCAAGGATTTTCGATGTTTAAAACAAATATATTCTGGTCTTTATTATAACGTCTCTTTTACCCTACATGAACGTTTTGTTTTGATGCAAAAACGAAAAAAAGGAATTACTAATATAGTTTGGAGAAAAACAATCCGATCATGTTTATATTCTGCTTTCATCATTGTCTATTCATTTTTGAATGTAATTCAGAATGATCACGTAGCACTATCGTATATTTTAATATTCTTGCCAATATTGACGATCTACTTTTTCTCAAAACACAGCCAGCAACACTGAACAACGATTTGCTCTTGACGGTTGTAACTGATATAGCATTGCAACGGCGTTGAAACATTTTACTTCATTGATTATCTGAGCTGACTATTTGTCAGTTCAACGCGAAAGAAAGCTAAATAAGAGATCGCCTAACTTTTCCTAAAATTAACGGTGCAAATTTTTGCAGATGGACTGTTTACTGAAGAATAGTTCATAAATGCAATATGTGAGTCTATCAGGCTAATTAGAGACTGAATATGTGCGTAACAGATCACAACAGCTTATTACACTATTTCGACGAAAAAATCAAAAAATCAACTTAGAAAATGGGATTAAATACATTTTTTACTCTTACTATGTAAAAAGTAAAAAGTGAATGTTCACTTTAGGTTTTTACTTTGTAAAAGTATAGCGGAAAGTTTTACTGTACGTTTTACTTTAGTAAAGTAAGTTTCTTCTTTACTTTACTCAGCAAAGTAAGATGCACCGAAAGCAGACTTATCATGAAATTTGTTTTCTAAATTTGGATCCGCCTTTTGACCGTGATCACGAATACACGTTCTTCGAGTTTTTTTGGAGTCTTTTTTAGGTCGAAAACATCGGAATATTCGGAAGCGATCAAAAACCAAAAAAGAACACTAGTTTTCGAAAAACCACATATTTTGGGATCTTTTCGTGAAGAGGCGATCGGTTCTAAAAATATTCTAAGACCAGTTTCTTATTCAGTTTTTAATGCTGAATCCAAAAAGCTTTGGTTCAGTTGGTAAAACCAAAATGCGAAACAACGGCAGAGGTTTTTTGAAAACTACCGTTTTTTTGAGTTTTTGACCACTGCCGAGTATTCCGATGTTTTCGACGTAAAAATAAATCTCCAAAAAACTGTGTATTCGTGATCAGCGTCAAAACCCGAATCCAAATATGTAAAAATATTGAGAAAACAAATTTCATGATAAGTCTGCTATCTGTGCACCTTAAAAAACAGTAAAAGGATATCCCGTGTTTCTAGTCTGTTATCAGAGGATCTTGGATTCGAATCCTAGTCAAGACGCATTTTTTCTGCATCTTTCTGTCAAAACTAATCATATGTAAAAGTGAGATTGTGTCACCTAGAAGTGTACATAAAAAAAGAATGAAGGTTTTACGCCGAATCGTCTAGGAGTTGGTACAGCTTTACTGCGCCAAAATCATATTCTAAGCAATGAAGTCATCACTTCATTAATTATAGTTCACCGCCTCCGCCTGCTTACTTCAGTTTCGAAAGTTTCGAAGAAAGCATCAAATTCCTGAGAAGGGTGAAAGGCAAAAAAAAGAAAAAAATTCAATATCGTAGAAAACCACCAAACATTCTTCTCTTGCTCGCTACTTTCGCCACATCTATGATCAAAAAACTTTATTCAACAAGTAGAAAAAGATATTTTATACTGTTATGTATTAGAACAGTGATCTGAATGAGAGATAATACAAAAAGTCTCTTATTTATTTCTTCAAATATAATTAAGCAAGTATAAAAAAGATATTATTTTGATTTTTTTCATATTCTTGCTATATGTATCCATTCTATTACTTTTCTGTTTTTTTCATGTATGTACACTTATAAAGCTAGAAGTGTCAAATAACACACAAGTATCTTCTTTTACTAAAAAGAACATTAAGAAGCCTTATAACAACAAATGGAATCCCCATTATTTATCATCATATTCGTATAATAACGTTGTTTGAGTGTATACTCAAGTTTTACTAACATTAGTGGATTAATAAGATACCAGCAGTTAAAGTTAAATTTAAAATATTAAAGTCAAAATAATATCGACCATTTTTTTACGAAATTTGAGTAATTTTACGTAATTGACATTGACGTTTGTTAAATTTATTTTCTTGTCTTATTTAAACGAGATCTATTTATAAAGTGCGAAATTTCACATAGAATTATCAAAGAACAAATGATAATAAAAATATAAAACTTATCAATTAGATTCTGTAGACTAACAGTTGTATTAGATGAAAATATTAAAAATAGAAAGAAATTTGGCTTCATATAATAACATCGTAACATGAGAATAAAAACATTGATATTCTAACAGACTCGTTAGAGCATATGTGAATTGTAGATATGAATGAGGTCTACTTTTCATCACAATACTTTTTTTCGCCTATTTTTTTACTGATTATTGCTAAATATTTTTTTGTGAAAGAAAAAAATGTTTTGAATATTAATCTATACTCTACATTCTACAGTAAATAATCTGATTTTCTTTGATATGAGTGACAGAATAATAATCATTGGATAATGCCGTGTTTATTTAACAGTAAAAGTTAGATGACAGAATAATGTGAGTATAAACTAACATTTTTTTATTTAAAAAATGACATGAAATAAATATAATAAATTTATTTATTTTGATTTTACGATCATTAATTATCATTGTATTGATTTTACTATACGTGTTCGTATTCATTTAATGAGATTTTATTCCAAAAAAATTACTTTTTGATTGTTTAATGAATATTCATTTTGATAAGGAGAGAGAGTTCTAATTGTTCTTTTGAGAGATATTTTAAAAGATTATATATTTGGTATTTATCATAGTAAACGGTATTATTTGAACACTACATAACATTTTGTTACCTTTTGAATAAGAGAAAAAATATTTCATTATAGTATTCTAAATTGAAACTATCAAAAAACATGTAGAACTTGATGTAGTCATAAAAGAAATTGACAAATTTTGGTTTTATGCGACTATACGATTTGCTTTCCATCGATTGTTTTCTATTTTAATTACGTTATTTTTTCCACAGAAAAGAATAGAAAAATATGATTTTTGTGTGTATAGATAGGATTTACTTTCTATTGATTATTTTGACGAGAAGAGAAATAATAAATAAGATTTATTTTCCAAAGAAGAATATCACTAAGAAAAACGAGATCTGTTCATTGTTTTGATGAGCATTGAAAATATCCCGTACTAACATCTTTCAAGAAAGCGGGAAATAATGACCAACATGAGAATATTGCTATAATTTCATTAAATATTCAACCGTTATTACTTTATTTTTATCGACATTTTGGAGTGAGTATTCCCATATCATCAATTTGATTATCAATGGTTTTAACTTTAACTCTCATCTCTTCAGTCAAAATGGCACTGAAATCGGGTTACCCCATTGTATCTGTGTCCAAAGGTATCGAGACAATGAACATTAGATAGTTTGTCCAAGACTATCACGCGACTGCCATTGCCGAGCTGCAAACTCCGTATATTTAAAGTACGTTGTCTGCCCACTCGTTGACTGAGTCACACTGCTCAAATGACGAGATATTTTCAATGCCGATCAAAACATTGAACAGACCTCTTTTTACCCTGTCTGGCAGCTATAGCTGGAACAGAGGTTAAGCTATTAGTATATGTGATCTTTTATAAATGAGCCAAGATAAATTT